AACCTCCCAATCGTCTTTAAACGATATATTTTCTTCGAATATTTTTCGCTTGCAAGATATGAAAGATAGTTAAAAATTAGTTCCACCCATAAAACTGTCACTACTCCACTGTTGTCTGTTATCATTAACCGTAAACGTTACAAATAAAAAAGAATATCAATTTGCACTCGTACGACATCAACAGCAAAAAAAAAAAAATTGATATATTTGATTTCTTGACACCAAATTTTTAATATATTATTCTTAAATAAGTTAATGTTTCAGAGCAATGGGCACTGACCGGGCCACTTAAAAAGGCTCGGTGGGCCGCAGGTTGAGTATCACTGCTCTACTCGTTGATGATTGTTCTCGGAACGATATATATTCCCACAATGGCGTAACCAGACTACTTTTATGGCAGGGGTTAATTTACAAAAAAATGCTGCCAAACCTCCGAGATGTAAATTTTATACCAAAAATTAAAAACCTGTTAATCTATGCAAGAGGTTTGAAACCCTCCAAATGTGTCAACGTACGGACTTTTATATGTCAATTCATATTTAACGTATCAGGATCAGATGCACGTTATTCTTAGTTCGAATTTCTTTCCTCAATGGCTCGACAGCCCAGGGTGGGCTTTGGTCTTCTCAAGAAACCTCTTCCTGCTAGTGTTCTCCAATTCGAGAACTAGGAGATCTTCTAGACCATCAATCCATCTATGCTTTGGCCTGCCTTTCTTCATGTACTAATTGGTTGAGCATTGAAGACTTTTTTAGTGGTTTGTTCGAATTTAGCGCTCAAATTCTCTCCGAAGATCTCTATTCAACAAAATAAATATGCTTGAAAATTTCAAGTCTAAGTCTAATAGTTCAAAAACTGAAATTTCTTCATGAACAGGCTCCGAAACCTACCAGAGAGTCGATTTTTGGAACACCCACCCTTAACGGATTCCAACTCAACAAAAGAAATATGCATACCAAATTTCATTACTTTTCGAAAGCGAGAATTTTATTTATCTGTACTCCTTAATAACTCCCCGAATTTACTCCTCCACAGAAGACGATTTCCGTTCAATCCATTCTTAGCGGATTTCTATTCAACAAAAGAAACATGCTTACCATATTTCAAGTATGTGGATCTAACAGTTCAAAAACATGAATTTTTATCTTCAACCCCTTGGCAAACCCCCTTTTGGATGATTTTTGCTGTACTTGTTCTTAGCGGAACTCTACTCCATGAAATTAACATGAATTCCAAATTTCAAGTCTGCAGATCTAATATTTCGGAGATATCATGATGAGTGAGTGTGGGTGAGAGTCACTTTTTTCCTTCATGTATATAAGTCACTAAATCAGTGCTTCTCAAACTTTCAATATACGCGACCCAATGTTCAATCATCATTTTCATCGCGCCCCCTCCATACAATAACAATGAATTGAATTCAATAATACTATACTTTGACACTAAAGCTACGATACGACTTTAACCTCTTATGTGCCACCAACGTACATAAACGTCTCGCTCAGACGAAGCATTAATTTTCTGGACGTATATATACGTCTTTCCGAAGTACAATCTTTTCTGTGCATTGCTATCCATGAAATTATTCCGAAGACTTTGGAATGTAATAAGAGGACCTTGACAGTGTTTACGAAGGATTTACTTATTTTAGAGGATATTTGCTTATTTTTTATTTTTCTTCTCCTCCTCAAAAAACATCAAATTAAGGTCGTCTACGTGGAAAACGGTGGCATTGGGAAGCGAATCGCATAACTTTTAATCTGCAGTTAAGGAATTAATTTTTTTTAAAAAACTGTACAAATTATCAAGATAAGTAATAATACAAGCCCATGGGGTCACTGATAATTATCAAACTTGTTCTTAGCTTAGTATTGTTAAACTAATAATAAAATACATTGCACAGTACTGATACATTTATAAGAGTATTATATCAGTGTAAGTGTATTTTATATTTTATTATATCAGAAAGTATTTTGTTTGTTTACTTTTAATAAATTAAAAATTTTTTAAATAATCTTTTGTTCTCGACTTTTCAATATGCTCGCGCCCCCCTCGTAGAGGTATCACGCCCCCCTAGGGGGGTGCGCCCCACAGTTTGAGAAACACTGCACTAAATACTTTATTTTCAATTGTCTTTCAATCTATAACCAATAACCAAAAATTCAACCTTGAATTATATAGTTTGTTTTTAATATCATATTATAATTAGAGTAAAATGTAATTTTAGGTTTATAAAATCACTATTTTCAGAAAAAAAAAGAAGAAAAAAAATTAAATCGCTTATGTAATGATAAAAAGGTAAGAATCTTGTATATATAAAATGTTGTGCCGGAAGTCGTGATGGAATACCTTCTAATATCGTGTGGGAGATCCTTTTGCTCGACGAAGAGCAGCAACTCTTGATGTGTCATTGACTGAACTATAATATTCTCTCCACCAAAGCAATGTTTTATCATCTTCTAGGGCAGTGATCCGCAACCCCCGGTCCGTGGATCAAATGGTGCCGAGCAGCCTAAAGAACATTTAACTATTGCCATTTTATTTAAAGTGGTGCCTTTCTCTCGGATATGCGCAACTTTCCACGGAAATCACTTTATATTCCACGTTAAATCACCTTCATTCATTTTGGGTGTAACTATATTTTATTCTGAAGGCATATTTATAAATGTAACTAAATTAAAATTGTTAAATCAAAACAATCTAAATATAAACAATCAACGTGTCCCACACTCAGCGAACCGCGGTAAAATTATCAAACGTTGACCGGTCCGCAGCGATAAAAAGGTTGCGGGCACTGTTCTAGGGTACAACCAATATGTTCGTGAGCCCTGCAGATTTGCTGCAGTCGTTTGCTTTTGTTAAGAAAGACACTCGAATCGATCTTCCACAGTCCGTCCGTTCCAAATTCACTGCACTGTCATCTGTCGTATGCCTCTTATTGATTGTTGCTCTTATTTGACACAGTGTTGCACGTTAGATAACACTAACTACTTTATGCATACTTCTCTGATCTTTGTCATTAAATAAAATATGGTCGGTGACTATGTTGCCCATCGTTAGAAATAAAGCGTAGAATTATATATTCTAGTCAACATTTTTGACACTGTGGATCGAGAAATGTTGAATTTCTGAACAATTTCCAAACTGAAATGTTCAAAAGACATTGATTCAAAGTATGTTAATTTTTATCATGTGACCATAATTTTGTCAGAAAAATAGTACAAGAATCAATTTGAAATCCTGATAATACAGTCTCCTTTTATGCATTTCTTTCGCGATGCTATTGCAGTTTGTATCGTAAGGCTCCTTAAAGAAGATGGCAACGAGTGAAAACAAAACGAGATTTGAAACTGAAAGAGATTTTTTAAAACAAGGACGAAAAAAAGAAGTTAAGAAATTAGGAGGAAAAAGGAGAAAAACATGGGGATGCCTTACATTTCTAGTTTGTAAATAATGGAAATTGACTTTGTGTAATATTTAAAGGTTAATTAAAGACCCAGAATGACGTGCACTTTCTTGAATTATTTTCATCGAATGTACCATGTATTACAGTATATTGCTATTTACGAGGTTCTCTGTGAGGTTTTGGGGCAATATAAATCGCATTCTACTATCTAGATACTTCTTAGCTCCGGTAGTTTTCTGAGAGGGGGCTGGTAAGCTGCAATTACTCTGTCACAGGCATCTCAGACAAGCTCTGTGAGATTCAAATATGTAGATCTTGCTGGCTATTTCAAGGTATGAGGACCTCAGTGTCGATATATTAGACATCCAATCAATCCCTATGTTGTGAACTGAATGAACTGCCCCTCTGAAGAGCCAAACTTAGAGCTCTAAGATTTCATGCTTACATCTCAGAGCAGTCAAGGCGCTTCCCTTAATAACACTGTAACGACTGCGCTTGGTACGACCCCACCCATCCATTCATGTCAAGTTTCATAGCTCAGAGCAGGTGGCTAGGAGACGGTGCATTGGGGTCATTGTTATTGTTTGGTCTCGGATCCACGACGACACTTTGACTGGAAGTCATAATGGACATAGGAGCGCCCCACCGGGTGACAATTGCCGAAGCCTGTATAACTGAGAACACTGACGCCTAGGAGAATGATTTTAAAAAAACAATAGCAGCGTGATGGATAAACGTCCAGATGTCGGACAAGAAATCTGGCACCAGTACATTCCAGACGGGCCAGAGAGTGCTATTGTGAGTTCCGCATGAATAGGACACTAATGAGTCCGAGGGCCGTGTGCAGACTTTTTTGACCTGCCAATGATAAGTGACGAGGGGTGTGTAGTGGACCCGCCCCTGGAGTTTAAAAGGGGCTTTTATGAGATCGAGAGCGGATAGCAGAAGTCGGATTCAAGTCCAAAGCGGATTTTCCTGGTGTAAGGGGAAAGAAAAGAAAATGAACGCCGGTGGCGTTGTAGAAATTATCCAGCCCACTTCATAGAGATCTGGGCAAGTGACCTTCGGACAAAGCAGTGATGTGTAGAGATTGAACTCCAACGTTTAAGACACAGAACGCACCGGCTTGGCGCAAAGAGACTTTAGCTTATTGCATCAGTAATAATTAATTTGTTGAGAAAATAAATTTTTGTTTTATTTCTACAATTTGCTGTGAGTTATTCATCACGCTATCAGTCACGACGTCACAACATGTAGCTTTGTGAGTCCGTTTAACATCACGTCGTCCCAAACCAGAACAACACCGTCTCCATTGTTGTCTACTTCCATGAAGTTGGAGATGATACCAGATTCGTGGTTCTCTTCCTATGTGAACACGTCAGGAATGTTGTTTTTTTATCGTGTGTTTTTCTCCTAGGATACATATGAAATAAAAGTGGAAGAACAGAAACATACAATACAAACAGAAGAATATAGACATTTATTACAAATGATGATCCCAGGATATAACAGAAGGAGTGCGCTGCTTCCCTTTCGAGATGGGAATCCATTGCAGGCGAAAGTCCGACTTCTTTTCCCGAAGGAAAAATATCTATGTCTTACTCGGGATTCGAACCCGAACCCACTCGGTTATAAGCCGAGGGTCATATTCACCATATTGGCTAGGCGGCACGAATCAGGAATGATTGTTCAGATTGAATCTCGACTTATCACTGAAAAAAACACAGGTTCACTTCCTTGTCTTGTGCACTATGCTGTGTTCACCATATCAGGAAGGGTTCTTCTTTATTTTGGTGTGAATGGGATTCTGACTATTCGTATCCAGGAATAAAGCCCTGTCTCATTAAGCCTTCGATAAACGGTAAATTTCAAGACTGAGGCACCAGAAGTGACAGAATTACTGATTTGTGATTATCATCCTCAATTACACCTTAAAATTAAAGCCAAGTATTAGTCATCCTGGTTTGTGGTGGCCTCTACTGTGCCCTGTAACTGGTCTTCTGGATATTTTTCCGGGCTCTTGGAACAGGGTCCGTATTCTGGAAACTACGTTTCAAGCAGTGGCGTAACGGAGAACATTTGAGCCCTCTTGCAAAGGTTTGGGGTCCCCCAAGTTGGATTTTACAAAGGGTAGGTACTTGGCGGCAGTTATTGAATTTGCTCACGCATCTGAATTCGTAGCACTTATATTCGGCCTATAAATATCAGCAACTTTCCCTTCTCATAAACAGCATCTGAAGTTTATCGTTGCATTTGCGACTTCCGAAGAAACGCAGAAAATGCCTATGAGACGTCGGCGAGCTCAATACCATCCGTTACCGGTTCAATACCGGGGAACGTGACCATATTATCGAATTCCATGCATTGGGTTTGTCGCTCTGCGTAATACCAACTCGTGTTGGGTACAATGTGAGTATCACTCAACGTTGTGTCACGATGGATCCGGGAACGTCTACATTCACGCCGGAGGGGAAATAGTTGACACAGGTGCACTTCAAAGAGCACAGACCGGGGTATTCGCCAGTTGACTATTTGAGACCTTTTCTCCAAGGAGTGTGACATCCGAAGTCGTTTGCCTCGAGGAGTAGGTAGATCTGTGTCCTACCGAACCATACGCGACAGATTGCATGAAGTACATTTAAGTGCATGGGTACTAACAACAAGGGTGATGTTGGCTGTTTAACTCAGTGGCTAGACGCCTAGCGTGGTGTCATCGTCATCGTACCTGGACCATTGAATTGCATCGGGTATTTTTCACGGAGGAATTTCGTTTCTGTCTGTGGTGGAATGACGGCCGTCGATGGGTATGGCGACGACCCGGAGAACAAAACGAACCAATCCTTTTTGCCGAACGTCAAACCAGTCCTACACCGAGCATTATGGTTTTGGGTGGCATAATGATAAATCACAGGACGCCTCTGGTACACATTGATGGGCATTTCTCAGCGGACCGCTACGTCACGCCAAGTACAAGTTGCCTGTTGTTCTCCCCTTGTTGAAAGGAGCACCCAACACCGTATTCCAGCAAGATAATGGCAATCCGCATGTCGCACGGCGAACTTTTAAAAGCCTGACTGGATTTGACAACATTCCGTGGCCGGCAAACTCTCCAGATGGGAATCCTATCGAACACCTGTGGGATTACATTAGGCGTGACATGAACCAAGGACCACCAGCGTAAACCGAGGAATCTGCGCACAACAGTGGATGTGGCTCAGGCAACCCTCAATGGACTAATTGATAGAATGTCTCGTCGGATTGAGGCCTGTATGGCTGCTTGAGGTGAACACATTAGATACTGAATAAATTGATTTATACTGATTATATTTAAACTCAGCGGCTGAGTGGTAGTGCATCGTTCTTCCACTCCACAGGTCCGAGACTCAAACCCCGGGCTCGGCAAGGTTGACTCAGCCTTTCATCCCTTCAGTGGGTTGATACATGAGCACCAAGCTTGCTTGGGAACTTAACATTGGAGGTTTCGCACTAGACTGACCACCTGACCGGAATATCTGCTCATACACCTCATGGCCCAAGGTCACGTATACTGAGATGGGCACAGTATGCCTTGGCTCTCATGCGCTGTTGTGCTACTGAGTTAAATTAATCATCATATTTGTCTGTTCTTTTTTAATTATTTGCATATCTACTCTACCACTATCGCTCCTGAAGTTTGCATGACGGTACGTGCATTATTTCTTAGTGGTACAATTTACTTTTGATGAGAGTACCAGTGTGCAAAACTTAAGGAACAGAAATCTTTTTATATATGCGCATACAAAGCCTACATATAATAATAATCATTAATTATATACTAAATTGCTATAAATCTCTTAAAATTAATAAATTAACAGTAAAATCTGGCGTATAACGCGCACCTATATTTTTAAGCTGTAATTTTTAATTTTTGGGTACTCCTCGCCGTATAACGCGCACCCACCTTTTTTACGAAGAAACCTGAAATGTACATACGCATAACTCGTATGTTTCAAAGTTATTTATTTTAGGTATAATCCCAGGCTTTCGAAAAAATAGTATATATATACTTTTAGCACTACAACTCTTTAATTTCATAAGGTACGTCATTCCTTTTAAATAAACAACATTTGGATATATGTAGAACTCTAATTTTTCTATGCTCATCTTTTTTTATTTTTTTCAAGCTATAATTTTTATACTCGGCGAATTACATTTACTCCCCGGAAAATCGACAAAATCAGAAAAATAAGTTGGGCGAAGTATTGGAGCATGATACGAGAATAGTGGACTTCCGACCCTGAGTCCCCCCCTGAAAAATTTATGTGTACGCCACTGCACCCCTAAATTTCGATCCTATTTTGTGTGTTAAAAATGAGCTTTATAAGCCGGATTTTACGGTAAACCAAAAATAGAAGTATAACGAAACAGCATGTTAATGTAAATTCACTAGCGTAGCTAGTCCTGAATGGGCCCTGTATCAAAATTCCTTGAAAGTACTTTTTGCTAGTCTCTCAACATTTTATTATTTTTCTTACATATTTTAGGGCCCCTGAAGCTTGGGGCCCGTTAATCATCACGCGGTAGCTAGCCCTGATGTAATATGCTGAGTCGCATGTATAAATTTGCCTGTAAAAAGAAACAAAATCATTTTCAATGCAGGTATATAAAATTATGCATATGTATATATATATATATATATATATAGATAGATAGATAGAAAGATAGATAGATAGATAGATAGATAGATATAATTTTATTTTTAATTTGTCAATATAACCCAGAAAGGTTATTTGTACATTACAAATCCACTACAATGCATAAATATTTAAAAAATTTTAAATTGAACAAAAAGTAAAATTAAAAAAAATCTTTTGTGATTATTTTTTAACTTAAGAAAATATTAAGAAATTTAGTTTTTTTTGCTTGAAGTGTCTTGAAATCATATAAACAAAATTACTTAAAAATAATAAAAATAAATAAATTTATAAGAAAGTAAGTTTTTTCTCAATAGAGTTTATAAAAAAATATTCCTGGGTTTTTGAATTTTTTTTTTAAGAAGCCACGACGTAAGTTTTGTTTTACAGTAAAAACACATTGTACGAAGTTTTATAACAAGTATATTGATTAACGGTTTCAACCAATTAAAAGTGTTATATGTAATTAGAAACAGCATTCCTTTTCAATTTGAGAGAAAGCAATGTGTTGATTTGCTCTCTTCCCCCTCTGCCCCCAGATTTTCTGTTATGCGAACGTCTCAATCGAATCAGTTTTCCCTGTTCCCTTGACATTAATAATAATAAGAAGAAAAATCAAAACCTTGAGGTTTTTAAAAGTCAATCATAATCAGCGAGATGAGCGATTCACTATTGCCTGAGGTGTGAGTTAACTTCTTTCGAAACAGTTATCAGCAAAGCAAGCACAAATAAAAAAAGAAAAAAGTTATTATACATCTTCAGCCACACATCTACACCGGACAATGTACTGAAGTGCAAAGAGCAGACGCCCTTCTGTCACTCACATGGCCAGCGGGGCCGTCCATCAAAAAGCCCAGCTGGCCCATTAGAGGGGCCCAGGAGACCACTAATTAGACGCGGGATGCCGTTTGTTTTGATTAGCCGCCGAAATTCGGTCAAATATTTTTCACTCTAAGGTAGTAAAATGAACGCCCACGTTTGGTGGGCAAGAAAACCGGTCCAGCAGTGGAAGCTCCACGAACATTTGTTCAACATCAACACGACACGCTCAAGTGGCCATCCAAAGCAACATCAAGCCCTGTATAATTATCTTGCTCTCGGAGAGAGATGATCGCCTGGCTGCTTTCCTGAATCGCATTAACAGCGCAAGGACAAGCTCGCCTGTCGGTACCACGTGTCTTTGACGACTAGCTGTCAAAGCAGTCAGTCCCGCATGCCCCTCCTTGAAAGGCGGGGCTTCGAACCGAGTGCGCCGTCGATTGGCGGCGGTGCCTCAGTGTAAGCTGTCGTACCACGTGGGACGGTGGGGCAACGCCTGGGAACAGTCATGTTTGTTGATTAAGCCAATCTGAGCGTGAGAGCATATCCGCAATCGCTCTTGTCAAACCGCGGGTACGGGTTGTCTGCTGGCTGCTGTTACGACGAGCATCTTCGGAGAATAAGGTTTTTGTGCGCGTCCTTTTCCTTTCCCTCAGAGGTATTTGCCGCTGCTTAGTAAAGTGCTGTTCACAATGGATACACAAAGAAATACCATCTTTTCGTAGCGGTTAGGCCTAGCCGCATCTGCTGTGCTGTTGTGGAAAAATTTACCTACGTTTGCGTGGAACGACGAGTGATTGTGTTGTTTTCATTAATTTGTTTACATTTCGCAAATGGCGCTAGTGTGCCACAATCAGCGCTAGTTTCAATCCGACAAAGTTGTTAAGCCTATTTCTGTGTTTTTACGTGGCTATTTGACTATTGATGCCATAAATCATGTATCCGGCCCGCCATCCTGTAAGTACCTGTACATTTTTTTTATTATCACTTAAGTATTTTTAAAAAAATATTTTTTTTCTGCTTCTGATTAACGTTAGCGAAATGTCATCCATCTTTTAAATACTCTTTTCAAGGAAGCTTTCGCCGATGTGCTATCATCTGCTGTTAGATTAGAAATATGATAGCAACCCATTAACCAACCGTTCACGAGTGATTCTGGAGTTAAGTTTGAGAAG